TAATATATATATATATATATATATATATATATATATATTTATTTTTATATTTTCATATTTTATTTTATATTTATATTTATATATATTTATATATAAAATATTTATATATATATTTATTAATAATAATTAAATACAATCTATTTGTAATAAGTGTGAAAATTTATTGGAGATTATTTAAACTAGAATTAGTAACTTAGAATTAGTAAACAGTAAATAATACTTTTATTTTTCGATTAGAATTAGAAAAACCAATACGACAAAATTAAAAGACAGATAATATTTTTGTTAACATAAAATAACAATGTTAAAATTCATAAAATAATTTTTTTACTTACCTATTAATAATATATTATGTTTTTTAAATGATTTTAATCGATTTCTTTGATAATGATATATCAATTTTTAATAACATTTTAATTTAATGTTTTTCATTTTTTTAATGCAATTTTTTAATTCTTTTATATTATTAGGTTATTTATTATTTGAATAAAAGAGAATAAAGAATAAGTATTAAATAAAAAATAAATATCTTGAGTGAGTAATCTTTAGTAGTTTTCAATAATTTTAAAATCTTAATTTTAGATCAATAAGAAATTAAAAATTAATAAATGATAAAATTTTAATTTTATTTGCTTCTAGAAAATTTGTGATTCGATGCAAGCTTCGAGTATACTTGAATTATCTTGTTAAAATGCGAAAGTTGTTGAAGTCATTTTGCAATTATAAAAATATGCAAAGATGTAGAAAAAAGTAAATGTTATAAAGCAAAGAATATAAAAATGAAATAATTAAAAAAAATTATATTTTTCACTTTAATGTAAATAATCTTGATTATTAACATTATTATCTTGAAATTAAACATGATTACATTTACGGTGTATATAATATGCCAAAATTTTCTAAGTTTAGAAATGATTCTTTTTTTCTTTCTCTTTATTAGTAAATAAATATTTTTTATTTTTAGATTTATGCAAAATAAGAATCATCTTTTAAAATTTTTTTAAAAATCACGATAAAAAATTAATTAACAATTTATTTACTAATGTTATAGTGATTATTGTATGAAATTAATATTATATATGTAAATATATCATATAAAATGACATTGAAAAGGAATTAATAATAAGCGTTGAAATTAGATAGGAAATAACTTTAGAAATTATAAAATAGTAAAACTGTACCAAAAATTAGAAAAATATATAATCTTAGATTTACAATTAATGATATAAAGAAATAGAAATATACAACTGAAACTCAAATTCTTCTATAAGTAAAACTATCTATAAAGTCAAAAAATAAAAATGTAAATTTTACTATACCAATGGTTATTACAACTCAAAACTGCCAATATCTGAATACAATATCACCACTCTTAATATGAAAAAATTTTTAAAATTTGATCAGCAATTAGAAAAAATATGATGATTCGAAATAAATAGAATAAAATTTAATAAACTTAAATCATTAGAATTTTAAGTCATTAAAATGTGATTTAATTGCAAAAAAGGTATAAGATTGATAATAATAGACATATTATATTTATATAATATGCTTTGCAATTGTTCTATTAATCTTTTCGATAAAATAATATAGGATACTAATTAAAATATATTACATAATTCAATTGATATATTCAATTTGACATATAAGAATCTCGAGTCAAAATTTATGTCTTATTTTTTATGATGATATGAATTTAGTAAATCATAATTATTTACATCTATATTTTTTGTTAGCTCTTTTCTTCTTTCTAAAATATTTCTATAATTATTGATTGATATATTCAAACTTATTTTATGTTAATTATTATTCTTTTTTAATGTCAAAATCTTTAAAATTACTCAAGTTAATTTTATTTGAAGCAATAGATATTTAAAATACCATTGAAAAGTAATGTTTGTTGGAATGTACATATAATAAGGAAAATTGAATAATAATATTGTTAAATCATATTTTTATCTTTCAGTTCAAATTTCGATAATTATTTATATTAACGATTACTCATTGATTTTAGATAAGTTTGAAATAATTATCATTTTGAATGTTTTTTGTTTATATGTTATTGTCACTTTAAACAAATTATAAAACGAATTAAACAAAAATATTATTTAAGTTGGTTTTTTAAATTGATTAATTGATTTTATGTTTAAATTAATTTTTTATGATTAAGTTAGATAATAAAAGATAAGAAAAATTAATATTATAAAAATAGAAATGAAAAAAAAAATTCTGCTATTAAAAAATATATAAATAATAATATAAAAAATGCTAATATAAAAAAATGCAATTTTCTTGTATTGAAGTCATATTTCTATCCAATATTATATCGTTTGTTAAAATAAAAATTCAATAATTTAATCTAATCTAATCTAATTTAACATAACATTTTATGAAAAATTGTAATCAGTTTTGAATAGGATAAATTCTTTTTTATTTTTATAAAAATGATAAATAAATTTACATTATAATATATTTATCTCATAATTAATTTATTTTTTATTTACAAAATTAAATTCTGTTAAATCATTTTTAAACATCATTAAATTTCTTTCTTTACAATAACATTTGTAAAATATTATATTGATTCACATGCCACTGGCATGATGATTGGATTCGCTTACTATGTGTGTAAAAACATGAATGAAAATAACTATCTATGAACTATTAACACAATCTAACCAAAATACAGACTCGTGAAATATCTTGCCTATGATTATTTAGTATCGTGCAACATTTTAATTAATATTATTTTTAATAATATTTATGTTAATAATATTATTATTTTGTTATAATATAAAAAAATTATTTCAAAATAGTAACAATATTACCGGCAAACATTGACGAGAAACTTTTTTTAACTCAAGCAAATATCAATTCTTAATGAAAAAAATTATTGACAGAATTTAAATGTTACTTATTGAAATGTATTAAAAATTATTTAAATCAAAAATTTTACCTATTAAAAATAGAATGTATAATATTTATATATTCATATATTTAAAAATATATTTTTATAATATTTTTTATTAAAAATTAAAATCGAACAACAATAACATGTAAAAATAAAACATGTGACAAAAGTGCTTTAGAATAGTGATCCTGATAATAGTTTTAAATTTATTAATATCGCTAATATAAATATCTATAATAAATAGTTTTCTTTGTTATTTCAAAAATAATTAGATTCCTCATAAATTCTAATTCTAATTTATTTTTATTTTATTAATAATTATTTTTTATTTGCTTATATATATTATATATATAATATATAAATTTATTCGAAATGTATTATTTCAAGTTAAAGAAAATTGAAAAAACTTTAACTTTCTTTGAAAAGAAATTCAAATAAATAATAAGTTATATAAATAAAATAGCTTCAAATACATGATTTTAAATTCCTTAAATACAAATAGTCTAACTAATGAACTAACTGAATAAGCAAAAAAATTTTATTCCATATGAATACTTGTCGTAATTATTATCAATTTTTAAAATTCATACTTATAAATCATAATTTATATGACTATATATATAAACATACATATAAATTGTACATATATAATATTTATTACATTTATATTTGATTATTTAATGATTCATATACCGATTTAAAAAATATAAACAGTATAAAAACAAAAACCAGGATTGATTTTTAAAAGGGCCACAATAGTTCGAATTTTATTTTCAATAACTTCTGCATTTTCAATAGTTTAAATTTTAGTAAAAATTTACGAGTAAGTATAATTTGTATAGTTTGTAGTCATTTCAATAAAATACAACTCTCAATAACTTCAAACTTCAAACTCTCAATAACAGTTAGATAACAATTACTTCACAAGTTATTCTTGCGTACCAAATGCTTTGTGAAAGATAACTATAGAAGAGATCCTGACTCATATTCTGCATCGTGATGTCATGAGAATCCATCTTTGGAAATTGTCTTTCAACATGATTATTCTTTTTTATCTCCTCTTAGTTTGCATTTTCGCTGAAGATAATGATTGAAGGAAAGCCGTTATAGTTTTTCAAAATTATAGATCAGATAGAATTCAGATCAAATCATAATTAAAAATTACATCATAGTTAGAATTCAAATAGATTTAGATCAGATCACTGTTAAAATTCAAATAACTTCAGATCAAATTACACTTAGCAAGTTCAGTATCATAGTTAAAATTTAAATATAATGCAAATCACATTATAATTAGGAACTAGATAGAATTCACAAATCATAATTAGCAAACGTCAGAAAGATCGCATTTAATCGCCGCAGGAATCAGTCAAATCATAATCAGAAATTGCGAAATTCAATCAATTCTTAATCAACGACAAATAGTTGAATGAATTAATTACCATTAGTTTAGTATTGTATGACTATACAATTGTTTGTATAGTCATACAAGGATTATAAATGATCTTTCAATAATAGTATTCAGTTTAAGTATTCCCTTCTATGCAATAATATATAACAATAGAAAAAAATATTTAATAATTTCTTATTATTTTAAATATATATTATTGTTATATATATTTATTGTTTTTAAAAGTATTTTAAAAAAATATCATATTTTCACATTAACGAGTGAAAATATAGATATTGATTTGTTTTCAAATATAAATGTCTAGCATACGTTTTTCATTGCTTTTGATAATAGTGCAACAAACCCTTACGTAAC